AAAATATAATGAGAATTATAATAATATTAATAATAATGTAATAAAAACATATAATACGACCGACCAAAATACAGGTACTGAGGGCTACAAAGGATCTCGCAAACTGAGTGCACCCACCACGCGCGCGGGGCGGACAAAGTCAGGGACACCCGCGCCATCCATACCCGAACACACCCAAGGTGGTATGTATGAACAAGGCGTAGGTAGGTATAAGAGCGGTGTGTCGGAGTCGTCAGGCACAACGCACCCACAACATACGCAGGAATCCCACAGGCGGTCTGAGGGGCGTGCGAAACGTCGGAGCAGCCTGGGCAGTGAGACCGGTGAGAAGAACATGTCGGATATAAATAGAAGGAGTGTGGATATAAATAGAACGGCCGAGTCGGGTGCGAGGACTAAAGGCGGGGTCACTCCACAGCCACAGCACAAACAGCCCGAGTTTAGTCTGAGTGTAGATGAGGAAGGATTGGGTGCTAAGACAGGTGAGGATATGCAGTGGGATATGAAGACCGAGATCAACACACACAAGAACGCACACGTACAGGCACACCCCAACACAGACACCGGCGCATCACTCGCGACTACACACACAAGCACACCACACACGCACACGCACACGCACACGCACTCGCATAAGCCACATTTGCGGGCAGGTGAGGATGTAGGCGATATAGCGGAGACGATTATGGAGGACAGCGGGGGTGATACCAGTGGCAATGAGGGCCAACAAAGGGGTCTTTCCACGTCATCGCTGGGAATGGGCAACCGAGCGACGAGTGCGTCGCCTCTGCCTCACAGGGGTCCGGCATCTCGGGTTTTCAGCCATAGGTAGGTATAGGCTATTTATAGAATCTGTTGCCGTGTTTTTTGTTGTTGTTGATAGATTGAACTGGCGTTCGTAATCCGCTATTGTTTTCTTGGGTTGCATCAATTCCAGCCCTCGCCCTCATTGGATAGGGCATGACTCATCCATCTATTTTTGGCTTCCTATCACATAATGTTGTTCCTGCTACCGGAAGATGTCCCATCTAAAACCCTAAAACCCTAAAACCCTATTGTGTGAACCCAGTCAATGCCCAGGAGGGAGCACAGTTTCAGTATCGATGTATCTTGATATCCGGTTATCGAACAGTAGTGACGTCCAAATAGTAGTAGCCTCTACTATGGGTAGTCTCCCACAAATGGTCCACTGTCCTTGGTCTGGTCCTAGCATGCTTTCGCAAACCCTGTGGACTGTTCTAATAATAGCACCCAATCAGATTGCGTATATTATTAAATATCTCACCCACTCAACAGGTGTTCACCCAATCAAAACCCATCGCAGGACGTTCATTACCCAGAATCATCCATCACTTCACAGCACAAACATAAAAAAAATGCTCTCAACTGTTATATAAATAGTTTGCAATTACCTTGTCTTGTCTTGTATCCAGATTCACCACCAGCTCGACCAACAGTAGTCCCAACAAGCCTCATCGCAGATCTTCACCCACAACTATCAGTAACGCGGATGGGGAACGCGTGCTGAGCATATTGGGCAGTAGCCATAGCGCAGAGAATGCCGATTCGCCGGTTACGGTCGGGAATCCGACGATTGGTATGTATGTATATGATGTCTCGCGTTAGCTCATATGTGTATGTATTTGAGTATAACTG